AATACTCAGGAGATGCTTTCTCGCTGTTTGTCTGAAGTATCAGTAAAGGCTTGGATCATGAATCTGGATGAACACGAAGCACCTTCTTCCTCTGCAGGATGCTGCCTGGAATCGTCTTTTCCTTCTTTCTCTCCCGGCTGGATGAAAGACACTTCCACATATCACCTTCGGAGCCACGAAGCTCGAGGCAGCCCGTTGTAAACGGCGCCGTTGTTCGTTTGTGAACTCGCGGGTCTGATGGGACTCAGTCAGACGTGGTAATTGTGAAGACAGGATATTGATTGACACACATGGGCGCTCCTGCCCAGCAGCTGGGATCTGTTTTCCAAGGTGGACAAGCAGGTCACCGGGGGAGGAAGGGAGGGGTGGCACTGGAAAGAAAGGAGGTGCAATGACGGGAACGGGAGAAAAGAAGGCAGACGGACATTTATGTGTCAAACTGATGTTTGGAGCATCTTAATGCTGCCTCTGTTGACGCGTTAGCGCTTGATATTAATAAAATTATATATTAGGTTTCTGTATTTTCTGTCTTTGAAGTCTGGAGACGAACTGGATGACGTCTCACCCATGTGGCCGACCCTCATTAGACACGGGCCACAGCGCATGGTCGGATCATGCTAGGAGCTTATCTTGTCATGCTGGGCGTCTGCCTGAAGCATGCTGGGGAACACTTGGTAAATGCACTAAACTACATATTTTATGAGTTGCATGTTGAAGTCGGTGGAGTGTGGAGAAGAAAGAGGAGGAAGGATGAATTAGGTTTGATGAGGAATGTCCTCGTTTTGCTGTTTGTGTTCAGTTGGAGCTAATAACGTCTGCGTACTTGACCCCAAATAGTCAGCTGATTCATAACGAAGGCTCTGTTTAGCAAACAGAGAGGAAAGGTCTGGCGTGAGCAGATTCGTCCAGCTCTGATGTGATTGACAAGCTAACTGCTAGTATCAGCAGATTCCAGCTTCTCTTCAAACAATCCTAATCCCAAAAATATTCCAGCTGTTCATGTGAACGCATGAATGTTTTACACGTTTACTTTTGTGATTGGTGGTTATTTTCAGCAGAAGTTGGTGGGTGATGCTAAATCTGAAGCGTTTCCAGTCTGAATGTTTAATTAATACAAAGAAGATCATCTTGAGGTAAATTTTCTGCATTTATAGGTTTATTTAATAGTTTGTGTAAACTGCCAGTGTGACACGGGGCAGCAGTAGCTCAGGTGGTAGAGCGGGTTGCCTCATGATCGGAGGGTCATGGGTTCGATTCCAGCTCCCGCCAGGGGTATCCTGCTGTTGTATCATTGGGTAAGACACTTCACCCAACTTGCCTGTGTTAGTGGTGGTCAGAGGGGCCGACGATGCCAAATGGCAGCCTCGCCTCTGTCAGACCTCCCCAGGGCGGCTGTGGCTACAAGTAGCTTACCATCACTAGTGGTGTGTGAATGTGAGAGTGTGTGAAAGCGTCTTGGGGGGTCTAGAAAAGCGCTATATAAGTTCAATGCATTATTATTATTATTATTATTATTACTTATAGTCAGTTTAAAACTAAGATGTTTCTCCAAACTAAGGTTGTTAAAAGAACTACTTACTGCATATTTGACCTTTTGATGACTTCAGTCTGATTAGGTCTCCTTCTTGCATCAGAAGCTTTTATTTATCTTACTGGGAAAGGAAAAAAAGATGTTTGTCTGAAATCTAATGCAGTTGGAGGTTTTTTGAAGTTTAGCCAAATGAATTTATCGGTGTTTGGGGAAGAAACACGAGCAAGGGTGAGCCACATGAGCTGTAAAACAAAAGGAAGTGACATCACTCGTGCTGAGCTGGTAAAATGTGGGTGTTTGTCCTCTTCTTTCTCTCGTCTTTGCTTCACTCGTGATTTCTGCAGCTCCAGCTTCACCCTTCTAAATTAAACCTGGCAGGAAAAGCCAGATTTTGGAGATCTAGTGTTGCACCTTTGAGTTGCTGGGATGATGTAGTCCTGCTGGGATGATGTAGTCCTGCTGGGATGATGTAGTCCTGCTGGGATGATGCAGTCCTGCTGGGATGATGCAGTCCTGCTGGGATGATGTAGTCCTGCTGGGATGATGTAGTCCTGCTGGGATGATGTAGTCCTGCTGGGATGATGCAGTCCTGCTGGGATGATGCAGTCCTGCTGGGATGATGCAGTCCTGCTGGGATGATGTAGTCCTGCTGGGATGATGTAGTCCTGCTGGGATGATGTAGTCCTGCTGGGATGATGTAGTCCTGCTGGGATGATGCAGTCCTGCTGGGATGATGCAGTCCTGCTGGGATGATGTAGTCCTGCTGGGATGATGTAGTCCTGCTGGGATGATGTAGTCCTGCTGGGATGATGTAGTCCTGCTGGGATGATGTAGTCCTGCTGGGATGATGCAGTCCTGCTGGGATGATGCAGTCCTGCTGGGATGATGCAGTCCTGCTGGGATGATGCAGTCCTGCTGGGATGATGCAGTCCTGCTGGGATGATGCAGTCCTGCTGGGATGATGCAGTC